CGACGCCCCGGCGCGGCACTGGGTGACGTTCCAGTGCCGACGGGCGGAGGCGGATCCTAGCTCACACGCGCACGTACGCGCCCGCTACCCGTGTCCTTCTACTCTAAAACGCGAACAGAGAGAGCGTGCCCGAGTTCGAGTAAGCGTTCCTGGTTAGCCGACGGTGAGGGTCTGGCCAAACCGATCCTTGCCTCCCCCCCGCCGCCGTCGGCTCCCCATAGTTTTAATATACAAGTCGTCGCGTCTATCATACAGGGTTACAGTACAGTCCGTACTGTACTGTAGCGCGTTACAGTGCTGAGCTACCGTGCTCAGCTACTGTAGCGCTGTCAATACACGTGTGATCTCGCGCGCTGATAGTACACGTGTGATCGCGCGCGCTGTCAATACACGTGTGATCGCGCGCGCGAGATCTAATTTTAAATCTAATTCTGATCTGCGCTTATGCTACAGATGTGGCCGAATATGAGGTGATGGAGGTAATTAGTAGAGTCGAAGCGAGTAGCAGACGGAGAAGGGCGGGGATGGCGCGGTTTTCGTGTGATGATGGGGATTTTGGCGGAAGTGGGGGCTTGGAGGGGGGTGAAGTGACAGCTGGAAATTGGCGGGTCGGTTCGTGTGTGTGCTGTTGTGGGAGGGGTGGGCGGGTTCTAGTTATGGGTGTATATTGGTTGGTGTTACGGCGAGGTTGGGATTGCCGGAAATATTGTGGTATGCCTTGTGATATGTGGCTGTTTGGGGTGAGAGGAGTTGCGTCCATACGATAAAGACCATTTGCTAGCATTGCGGTGGCTATAATCGATGCAGGGTTGGGCGTGAGGAGCGTTGTGAAGATGTAGGCACGGGGGCCTTGGAAGAGGTTGTGATACGAGGCCGCAATTTGGGGAATTGTAAGGAGGTTGTGTTTGAGGTGAGGGGTAGTTATAGCATGGGGGATATGGAGGGAGTTATGAGATGTGCTGGGGCGCGGAATGAGAGTGATTTGACCGCAGTGCGTTATGGGGGAAGGTTTTCCGATAGCAGTGAGTGTCGATCCTGAGGAGCGGTGCATGTGAGGAAGGTGGGAGGTGAGATGGGTCAGGAAGGTGGCCGAGTCAGGTATATAGGAGGAGGGGCTTTTGGGCCCATTTTTGTTTACGGTCTGCTCGGGGATATGAGGTGACTGGTGATTGGGTGCTGGAATGTTGAAAGGCACCTCCTGATTAAAGTCCGGGTGATTGGGCAAAGAATTGAAAGCGAGCAGCGGTGGTGACTGCCGGTAGTTCGTACGACTTGGAGGGTAAGGGCTCCAGTGTGTGGTTTCCTGTGTGAAGGTCGGGAAGCTTTGGTTGCCAAAATCCTGTTGCTGCCAAATAGACTGTGAGTTTGCCTGGGGTGGGTACAGCTGGGTGTGTGATGGGTTGTTGGTTAGCGCCGGTAAAGAGGAAGAGAGGAGAATTTGCAGGGTAGCGTTGGAATAAGAAAAAAGGCCTATAACCTGATGTTAGGAAGAACCTGTGACCGCGACGGTGGAGTTTGCTGGAGCTGGAGTGAGCTTATGTACCCTACTCCACTGTGCTGTCTGATGTACTGTAAGGTATCATACGACATTCGAAAGCTGGCATATGTGGCAAAAACCCCGCCTCACAGCTGTTACACTGTAAAGCTGATTAGATAGCTTGACAGGTGCTCGTCGGGAGCACCCCTTTAAAATGAAACTCGGATTGGACACCTACTCGCCGATGTCCGAAGGTACCCCCCGATGGGCGTAAATGTAACCATTACGCCAAGGATACTGTGCGCTGGATGCGTTGGCGAATTAAGATTGTAACCCGCGTGCGGGCTGACAGCAAGGTACAGCGCAGTACAGCGCCGTTGCTTACACGTCTTCAACAGTTCCCGATAGTTCTAGATTACACTGGAAACGCCTTACATTTCATAATTCTTACAGTATAGCCCTCCATCCAGCTGCCGAGTTTCGCTCTCTGTACATGTTTTCAGCTAAAATGCCATTAATTTTCGTGAAATTGAGTCAAAATTGGGGACTCATGGAAGTAGAGGCTGTCCGCCCGAGAGTCAATGCCGCCCTTTCTGGAGGCAGAGGGCGTCCGCCACGTGTACGCATGCGCAACAGCTACCAAGTACAGGGGGGGTAGCTCTATATCGCACTTTTGAATAGCGCATTACCGGATATATCGCACTGTTTCGGGCTTGACACGAAATCAGCCACGTGTATGACATTACACACGTGTCGCTCTAGAAGCCCCTAATAGAGGCCGTACTGTACAAGCGACCCGCACAGTACCTCCAACTTTGGCTTATGGCGACGGCGGCTGAGTAGTTCTGCCCAGTTCCACGTCATTGCCTCAACATAACAAAAAAATATCTTTTTCGAGAGTATTTGCTACATCGCACTATCGGATATATCGCACTTTGAAGCGTTGTGACACTGGGGTGCGATATATAGAAGGTACCACTGTACAGAGTACTGTACAGCTTTAGAGGAAATCTGCAGCAAAATTGGAAATTGGAAAGCATTTTTACCAGGCTTTTTCACGCGGATTTGCCTACGAATGTCACGCCTTCACATGGAGGTGTTCGCTCCGCATGAGCAGGGACTCCCGCTTTCTTCGTCAAGATCCAGTTCCTCTCCGACCAGTTCCTCTCCGACGCTCCCTTAGTCGACACTGCCCCGCCAGACCCCAGGTCCCTTCGCAGCAACCGCTCTCCTTACGAATGCGCCTACAAAATCCGTCACCATCTCCAATCCCGCAACTTCCACAGCAAAGTCTTGGCCAAGAGCCGTCGAATGTTCTGCTCAGCAGATGCGAACGAGACCCAACTTGCCGCCCGTACGTCCCCCATTCCACACACAACATTCCTCAAACGGTGTCTGGGGTGAGGCAGGGCGCTTTACCGCTTTCCCGCAGCCACCAACAACCTAACGCGGGCTCCCAGCCGTCGTCAACGGGTTTCCCCGGTGCCCAGGAAGGAGTCGCAATCGAAAGGGGAGTCACCAGGGCTCCGCAAGCCTGACGCCGCCTTTGATCGCACCCGGCGACCACAGGATTCCGTGCCAAGACAGGAAGGCGCTCTTTCAAACGCACACAAGTCTTTGCAGACGCGCTTTCGAAGCATGGGGGCACGCAAAGGATGAGAATTGCACAATTTGCTTGACCGCTAAAGTGAACATGCCGGGTGGGAGCCTAACGTCACCTTTGAAAGTCGAGCTATCAGGAAAGGCGACACAATCTGATTCATATTCGGGGGCAGCACATTCCTTCGCGCGACCATTGCCTTTCCATCCTCAAATCCTGCGCCAGTCAGCCATGCCGCTGCAGTTGCTCAGACAAGGCATGCAATCTCCTCGTGGCATTCGAAGCTAACCCCTCTGCTAATACTTCCCGGCTCTCAGGCCGCGTCGACGCCTTCCTTACAGCGCGCCGCGCCAAAGCAAAGTGTTTCGAATTATGAAACAATCGGTCCAGTCGGACACTCGACCGTCGGCGGCGGGATTGCTCAGAGTCTTCCTGCGTCGAAGGTACATGCGGCGCAATGGACGAGGACATTGCAGCCGCAGCCGGGCAGATCAAGGACGCTGCATACTAGCATGCATTCAAATGCGATGAACACGAATGCAATGCCTCGAGACAGACTCGGCAACGCTGGCCATTGTCTTGGTGAAAGGCAGCGCAATTTCTTTCATCAGCAACATGGAATGGCTATGTGGCAGTTTCCGATAAGCAGCGAATCGGCTTCTGCCCCAGTAATTCGAGCTACGCGTTCCGTGAAGCCTGCAAGTTTTCCGGTACACGGGTACCAGCCCGAGGGAAGAAGATACCCGAATAAAACACACACTCTTTCCAGGACAAGCAATCAGCGCGTGATGCCCAATGAACCTGCAGCTCCTGTCTCTGTCTCGCGGCCGGACCACGGCTCTCCGGATGTGCTTTGCAGTAATCCAGGAGATCATGGCACCCCTTCGTCCGAAACTGCTCTCCAAAAACGAGCAAGCGACGAAGAAACATATCTCGAAGCCATGCAAAGGGCAGAGAACGGAAGTTCGCATGTCTCCCGCGCAGAAAGCTCCTCCCTCAATGGATGTCTGCAGCAAGCCCATCCTCCGCGGTGCCGACAGCGCAAATCGTTCCGCCAACTGCCTTGACTCGTGATCAAAGCGATTCCTTTGATGCTGCGCGGCAGGTGGCAAGTGGTGCACCAAATCCACAGCAAGAGCTACCAGATGAGACTACAAGGAAAAATCCAGAAGGTGGTGGAGCAGTCCATCCCATGACGGCAAGTGTTGCCACGAATAGTGTGGTCACTTCTACCGCATCAGTAGGACCATACATACCACGCAAACACCACATGGCTGCAGATGAAGACGACATCCGCAGTTCTACAAACGGAATTGCAAACAGTCGCTGTGGCCCCGCAACCGAAGGTAGCGCATAACAACGAAAAATCAATGATGCTGATGCTCTAGCCATTGCAGGAAAGGGGAGCGAGACCGAGCGCATGGTTTCCAGAGCCACTGCAACCTCCGCCGGCGAAAGATATTCTCGTGGAGAGAATGATGTAAATAGTCTTCCTCGCCCATGTTCACATGAAAACGACCCTGGGGGTATACTGCATCGTGAATCTAGCGAGCCATCCACCCCAGGGCCCCGTCTCGAGACGTCTGTTGCTCCTTGTGCCTCTCTCTGGTATCGGATCTGGCATTGCGGTTGCCGTGGTCAAGACGGATACAGCAGTCGGCGCTAAGCTGCACACCAACAAGGACACGCTTTCAGTATCAGACATCCCACAAAACGTCTGAGCTCTTGCTAGTGAGGGACCTCACTCGGGAAAATGCTCGGCCGTTGAAACGAGCTAAAAAGCTGAGTCGCGATCACGTCAGCCTCCGCAAGTGGGGCTCAGGATGAATCTGGTCGTTTATTGGAGTATCTACATTGCAGGACCCGCCAAAGCCGATATCACTTCGAGCATACGAAAGCAGGGTGAGGACGTTCCGTGAGCGTATGCGAAAGGCTCTGGGTTATGACAAGGGTGTGAACAAGGACGCGTTGCGTCTTATTGAAGAGAAAGCGAACGAGGATTGGACACGGAACTCAGATGTGATGGAAGGCTTCTTCTGGGAGATTGTACACAAGGGCGTTGATGGGAGGCCAATAGCGATGAATTACGGTGTTGACGTAGGGGCTGAAGGGGCATACAAGGCGAGGGCGAGTCATATGTGGAATAGTACGGCATGGATGATACCGGTCGCATGGTTAAAAAAGAGAAGCGCCTTGTATGCCTTGTACTGGGAGATAAGAAATAATCCTCGAAAGCTGAAGCCACTGTCACGAGCGCCCCAGCCAAAACAGTAGACACCATCGATGATGGTGAGAGAAAGCGTTCGAATGTCTGGAAAGCCCTCTGCGCAGCGACGCAAGAAACCAAAGCGAAAAGTAGAAATTTTGTTTGCTGACTTTCCCGGCCCCAAGCGCCATGTCGGCAATCTCAGTACGGAAGGCCTTTTTCATCACATGCCGCGTATAGCGGTAGTGAACCACTCAATGTTCTACGTCGGTGACATATCTGTGGGGATCTATTGGCCTACATGCGGGGAAGCCAAGGAACTCGGTGCGAGAGTACACCGTTTGGTCCCAGTATGCGAGACAACGACAAACAAGCGCGAGATCAAGGGCGATGATCCTGGAGTCAGAATTCTCGTCCTCCAGCTGTTGATGTCAACAGCTGTCAACAGCTCCCAGACATCAGGGAATGAAAGTCGTGACAGAAAGTTGCATTTCTTGGGGAAGCGCTGGTTGGCCACCATCACATAGTGGCGGTGCCAATTATGAACTGTAATGCACTGCCTTTGAAGTTCATTGAATTTCTGTAAACAGCATGACTGTTCAAACTTTGAACAGTCATGCTGTTTACAGAAATCATGGATCACTATGGATCACAGCAATGAACACTCTCATCACTTTGGATCACAATGGATCACAGCAATGAGCACTATTCCCTTCAGGCTGTAGGTCGACTACACGCGTAGAATCCATATATGCAAACTCGCATTTGCTCGTGTACCCTTCGAAGGGGGGAAATCGGGAGTGTCTTTTTCATGAGGCGAAGATTGGGTGGGTTACTATGCCTGGGCCGTTGGCGGGCGCTGTCCTTCGAAGTGTACCTTCTTAATTTTGAAGTCACATATATGTAGATACAACCTAAGACAGTCAAGCAGATTGTGACTTAACCTTGAGGTTAATTCTTTCGTTCTAGGGCTCTCTCAAAGATGAAAGGACCATGCCTTTTGATAGAGCTCCTTCTTTCTGATTATCAATACAATAATAACGTCAGCGATGCCTCGGTATTTGTGGCATAATTGGTTAAGCGCGTATCTTTATGTATTTAGTTAGAGGGACAGGCTGAGTGCGGTATGTAGGCGGCGAGTTGGGGGTTACAGCAAGTAGGCAAAGTGCCTTGGATTTGCTTTTATCCGGTGCTAAGATAGTGCTGTGCTTAGCCCTGGCCTCTACAAAGCGACGCGAGGGAGTTCAGCTTAAGTACACTGCTAAAGGTTCATGCACGAACAAAGGACAGGGGATGTGGCTGTATGCTACGTTATTTGCAGAGAAAGCACGGCAATACCTTGAAGAGGAGGGCATTCGACTTCTCGATCTGACACGCAAGAGCAAGTCAGATGGCTGACTTAGAATGCTTCCGCCATGCAATTATTGCATTATCATCTACATTAAATTGAACAGGAGATTAAACTTCATGATCAGCTTGCATTGCTGTTGTACACTTGTGTAGCTGTACAACTCATAATTCATATTGTGCGAGTCATTGCTGGTGCTAGAAACCTTACGTTGCTGCGACGTAAAGCTGCCGATTGAAATGTTCGTATCGGTGCAGACAGACGCCGTAGGTTCAAGCTTACCGTAAAACAGCTCAAGCTTAGCCATCGCAAAGATAATCTTAGTGAACACTTTTAGAAAGGTAGGCAGAATAAAAAGGGTGCAGCTATGGCAACTGCTGTCGCCTGTACCGTTGAACAACTGTCGTCGCAAGATCCTCTGAAAGCATCATTGCAAACGTTATCCGTGAGACTGCATTTCGTCACCTACGGAGACGAGCTTCGTGGAAATCTGCTTTCATCTGGAACGCGATGCCTTTGTCTGGGAAACAATGCTGGGTCAATCCGAGGTCCTTCTGCATGCTTTCAGCGCAACTGCTTTATGCGACTGCTCATCATCCTCGGCCGTTTCTCAAAAACTTATTTTGCCCGAATACTTGATGTGCAGAGACGTGCGAAGAAACGTGGATTACTTGAAAGCTGAGACGCGTCCAATCATTCAATTAGCATTTTAAGATCGATCCATGTTTCACACACGGCGAGTTCTCCTTTATGAATTCTCTAGCTAACAACATTACTTCAAGGGCAATGGCCCTTTCACGTTTGCTAGGTCTGTTGTTCTGCAGACGCTCTCCCTTTATTGTTGTGAGTATCGCTTCGCGCTTGCTGAACGGGATGTCAGCAGAGCTTAGAAAGGTAATAAGTTTAACTGATACTGCGGCCAGAAGCATTTGTTGGAGAGGCCCAGTCATCTGGAATCTACAAAGACCTGCCAATTGTTCTGAGTGGTTTATGTAAAAGGGGATTTTTGCACAACGTTAACGGACAAACAGCATTAGTAAAGAGACAAGCACAAGTTACAGTACCGTCAGAGTAAGCTGTGGAATCTCTTACAAAGTTTGATTCCTCTATATAAGTGGAAATGTACTTTGGCGAGAGTACAGAAGGAGATTGCAAGAAGTTCACACATGTGGATATCTATCACATGACTCAGATAACGACGAGCTTCAAATCACTAACGAGCTCATTTTTCAAAGACCCTCTTAAAGTGGTGTGTCTTAATCCCATTCTCAGAAGGACTTCCTCACTGTTGACTTCTGTTTCCATTTCTTGACTCGTACCGGCCTAGGAATTACTTTCGACACTGGCTGGCCGAATTTCGAGTATCTCCAACCATTTGACATCTGACAGAGTTTTGCCCTTTAGCTCAACAACCAAGTGTTATCGTCTGGTGAGAGAATGCTGCAGCACGACTGAAACCACAGACAACCAGTAGAGCAAGTGCCTTCCATCCCAAACCTCAATAGCAAGAAAAATCCCATAAGTGAAGGAGTTAGGAGCTGGGCTTGTACTCCAGCCGTACCATATTGCCGACAACAAACTCACATGAATGACCATTGTCACGAGCTGAGTCCGTCTGCCGTTGAATTTGAGACGCGGCGCGGACATAATGATTAGTAGAAAAACTTTCCCGAGCACCCAGTCGCGGGTAAGTTTGCGATTCCACACGTCTATGTTTAGTACTTCCTGTGTCAGATCATCCGGAGGGTTCAAAATGGATAGCCCCTTTATGCTCAACACAATCATCATTGCAAACACTAGGCAGTATATTGCGACCAAGCTGGACCTTGAAGATCTCAGGATCTGTTCCGTTTCCATTTGGCTTTCGGTCTCGGTTTCGGTTTGGCTATTGGTCTCAGTTTCGGTTTGCACATCTTTAGGATATTGTGGCATGACGACGACCACATCACTCTGCAAAATGTAGAAGAGAAGGGCAATGAGGAAAGTAATACTCTCGTAAGGTCCGAGTTCGGCGGATAGGACGAGTGCAGCCTCGGAGGAGATCAGTACCAAGAGACCAGAAAGTGAGAGGGCAATCATGTGGCCTCGTATGTGCATTGCTTGAAAATACTTATTCACCAAAACGGAAAAGTATACGATCCAGAGACTATTGATGAGTTGTGCATCGCGGACGCTAGCCATGGTGATGCTTTTGGGATAACGGAAATGGGGGGTCGAAACATAACGTGGCGGAGATGAGAGAGGCGAGAAGATTGTGTCTGGCATCGGTTATCTATGCTTATATCCCTAATGCCAGGAAGTTATGTGAAGTATACTTCACATAACTTTCTGAGTGCTTGTACTTGCCCCCGTTGAAGCTTTTTTCAAAACTTCTTACGTTGCCGCACACGAAAAGCCTTACTCTATCCACCCCCAAAAGGGCGGTCTTGTTTGAATAAAAATCTGAAGAGATATATGAGTCACAACATTGCCATTCGAAGACTCTCGAGAACGCTCGAAAAACGGTTATGTGAAGTATACTTCACATATACCTTATATGAAGTATACTTCACACAGCTAAAACCCCTTTTCAAGCACAGAATCAACGGGTTTTAGATATCATTTTACGTTTCTTATTGCTGACTGCCCCTCCTGCGAACGCTTCTCCTCACGGAACCCCCCACAATCTGCTCACTGCCACTGTCTCTAGTCGGACGTCTACTTGCTGTTGTGGTGCGCGGTCTTTTTTCAGCACTTGAACCTGCGCTTTGTAGCCATCTTGCAGCAGGAGAGGGTGAGCTTCTCGTTCTTCTTTCAGATGCTGGTAAAATAGCATCTGATCCAGGCACACTGTCGGGTGATAGAACATCCCCTGGCGACAAATTCACCGCCCCTGTCGACAAATTAACCGGGTTTCCTGTTCTGACACCGACAATTAGACTTTGTTCTTGTGTACCTAAAAGCACACTACTCTCCGTTTCCTCGTAGCTGCCGCCCCCTGCGTCGTGACCAATTGAACTGTTTGTGCTGCTGATTTGAGGCAAAGAAGCTGGTGTCTTTCTCGGTTTTAAAAGCTTCACAGAGTGCCAAATGTCCCAACAACTCTTCCGAAGACCTGTAAATGTTCTTACACATAGATAAACCGAGCACATTCGGCAGGAAAGAGAGGATTTGTGACCTCGAAACCCGTTTCTGTGATTCCCGCACATTGCACAGTATTTGAGCGCCCCAGGCTGCATTGGTACATGGCCACGAACAGTGAGACGTAACAGTGCACCGTCAGTGCTGTTAAAAAATTTGATGCGGTTTCTCTTTCGATTAAATGCAAGAGACATAAGCCGGTCGAGTTCTGTAGCTGATACAGCCTCGCCCACTCCTAGGATACTGGTGTCGTTCTGGTTGTCAACCAGAATGTTAGCAGCATGGTTTAGCAGTTCCAGCGAGACATCAAACATGAAGTCAGCAGTAGATTGCACCTTGTTTAGAAGGTTACGATAGTGGTCTAGTGAACGAAATGTGTCAGATGACTCCAACAAGTCTTCTCTTTGAAACATGGGCCAACCAATAAATGCGTTAATTGCCAGCGTTTTAAGAGTCTGCGAGATAAGCTTCTGTTCCCACTTGAAGTGAGAAGTGTAGTACAACGGCGCGAAGGCAACGGCGCCACCGCTGCCGCCCCGGGATACAGTACGATGGGCTGTAAGCGCGAGAAGAACTGTAAGGAGTTATATTTACAGCACACGGCCGGTGCGGAGTACAGTAGTACCTCGCTGGTTACACGTGTAGGATCCGAACGGTAAGTAATTAGTAATTAGTAGTTAATGGCACAAATTAGCCAATTTAGCACAGTAGCTGGTATACAGTAAGTAACAGCTACTGTAGCGGGACAGGTGTCCTGGCGTCCCACTTAGGGGTTAAGACCGGGGGCACCTGCCCCGTTCCAGTAAACGGGGGCAGACTCGCCTCCCTTCCCTTTACGGCTTTTTGCTAACTCCGTCCGGTTTTACCTCTAAGTCTCAGGCTTCTAACCCGTGACCGGCCGTCCGGATCTGACACCACCGACCGGCTGCGCGTCACCGGCCACGTGAGCCTTCCCTCTTTTCGAGTCCTTCCGTACGGTTTGCGCTCGCGTGGGTTACCCAGCGGCGCGCGCTCCCTTACCTCTAACCCCCCTCGTTCCGAGTGGTCGGGACGAAGGTA